CAAAAGATTCAGACTTATGTTTCATTAGATAAACATAGCCATATCTACTGAAGTCGTCAGTGAACGTGATGAAGTACTGATAGTTTCCTCTGGCATTTATACTCATTGGTCCACATATATCAGTATGTATAAGTTCCAACAAGTCTTTAGCTCTCTCACCGTGTCCAGTAAAAGGAGCCTTAGTCATTTTACCCAACAAACAAGATTCAGATTTTTCATATGATTCATAATCAAATGAGCTCAAAAGTCCTTCACTATGAAGCTTTTGAATGCGTTTCTCATTTATGTGGCCCAAACGACAATGCCAAAGAAAAGTCTGATTCGTGTCGTTAGACTTGAATCTTTTGGTACTGATATTATAGACAGGCATGCTTTGGTCTAGAATGTAAAGTCCATTCTCTAATGGACCGCTACCATAGAAGACATCATTACGATCGAAAGAACAACACTTGTTTTTAATCGAAAAATGAAATCCTTCCAAATCCAAACAAGGAATGGAAATAATGTTCCTACTTATAGCAGGCACATAGTAGCAATTTTTAAGTTCTAAAACCAAGCCTGAAGGTAAAGACAAATGAAATGTCCCCACGGCTAATGCAGCAACTCTTGCTCCATTTCNTGTGAGGAGTTAACATTTCTGGAATAAAAGAATAGGGAATGTTAATATGATGTTCATGAATTGAGAAATCTCAACAATTAAGAAAACTCATATTATATTCAAAAATTTCCTCAAATGAATATAATAAGCCAAGATCCATATTTCACTAAAATCCAAGTGAGCTTTGGCTCATCGCCTGAATTTTAGTTATTTAGGTAAGGAACACTTTGCTAATTATATCCAATATAATTCTTGGTTGTTGGACGACATCTTATGTCTTATCCAACCTATGTCTCTAAGCTCAAAACCGTTTTGATAGCCTAGTCAAGTAAACCAATCTTGTTTCATATGGTAACCGTTACCATCCACCTCACTCATGTAATTGTAGACACCTTGCTTTGGCAAGCCCATCTTACAACGAAACGAGCCTTGATGGTTGATAAGATTGGATAAACATCAAAATTACTTGAAATTAATTGAGGAACAAATTTTAATTCAATTTTAGTTTATATTTACAATTTATATCTAATATAGAAATAAATATAACTAATACATATCTTATATGTATTTTAATTGAATTATAAATAATTTAATAATTTAATCTAATTAAAGTGATTAATTATTTACATTTTGGATTCTAGAATTTAATCTAATTAAACTCTAATCATACGACCAACCCAATTGGACTAACCGGTTAAACCAATAATGAGTCAACCGGGTTTCATAATTTGTTCATGCGAATCATATAATTTACAGAATCACATTCATGTATTACACTAATACTTAACTTTTAATTTTAATATACATGAGCACATTATGATAAACAGCAATAAGCGATAGATAACATAAACAATTCATCAATATCTAGCTTGTGCTTATTAGCTTATTCAAAACACTAATCAACCGCACGAACAATTCTGGGTGACTAATAAATGAATTGAGCAAATTAATATTCTTACCAGAATCATTAGTTTCACATGTACAGATTAAAGATATCTACGAGTGTCAATTCAAAAACAATGATTTTGAAACAATTTCAAAAAACCGAGCGATTACAATCAAATATGTAATAACTTAACAAAATCGATCATGACAAAATTATTTATCTATATCAACATATAAATTAAATAAGATCAATTTCAGTATTAAACAAGTAGGCTCTGATACCACCGTAGAAATTCATACCGGTTTATAACGATTTATAAATCAACTTATGAATTCTATTTGCCTAGAATCTCATGTTAATACTGAAAATTAATTCGGTTTCCGGTTCGGTTTTCATTTCGGTATGGTTTTAAAAATTAATTCGGTTTTCGGTTCGGTTCGGTTTTTGATTTTCAAAAAAAAAAAAATTAAAAATGTTAAAAACCGAAAATAACCGAAAAACCGAACCGAAAATAACCAAATAACCCGAAAATAACTGAATTTAACCGAAATAACCAAATTTAACCAAAAATATCCGAATATTTTGGAAAAATTATACCAAAATTAACCGAAAACTTAAAAATTCGGTTATTTCAAAAATAAAATTGAAAACCGAAATAAACCGATAACCGAACCAAACCGAAATTTCATTCGGTTTATTTCGGAATTTTTTTTAAAATTTCGGTTAACCACCGACGGTTCGGTTCGGTTTCGGAAAACCGAAGACGCAAGCCTAGAACCCATAAACTTTTTTTCTTTTTGGACAAAAGAACCCATAAACTATCGCATTCTCCGACAAGAGTGACAAGAGTGACAAGAGTGACAAGAGTAAGCGTAACTAATCTTTGTTAAATTCTCAAAAGTGACTTCCGTATGGTACAACTTCTTTCCTTTTTTTTTGTCACACATGCTACAACCTCTAAAATTCCCAATCATAGCAGGCTAAAGCTGAACTCCAAAAGAACACATCATGTGAGAACCTGTAGAAATTCATACCGGTTTATAACGATTTATAAATCAACTTATGAATTCTATTTGCCTAGAATCTCATGCTAATATTGAAATAAATCTAGATCTTTAGGGTTTCGAATATACCTTGTTACTAGGTGATTTTCCCGTGCTCATGCACGGGTATGAATATTCATAAAAGTAAATTTTTATAATAATTGATTGATATTTAGTTTTAGTTTTTAATCAATTTATATGTAGAATTTATATTAATAAATATTATATTTTTCTTATTATACATATGACTTTAGATATATTATTTTCGGTTTAATTATTTTTTGGATCAATAGTCGGTTTGGTTATCAAGTTGGTATATTGGATAATATATATTTTTTGAATTCAGCTATAATATTTTTTATTCTAAATATAATAAAACTTTGATTAATTTTCTTATTTTTATTTCGGTTGGTTATTGTCTTTAGATATGTAAATATATTCTTAGATATGTAAATATATTATAGTTAAATTATGTATAACTTAATATATATTATGTTTAAAATGAAATAAATAATAAGCTGAAGTGTTTGATTCAAATTTACATAAATAATATAATGATAATATTTTGAAGTCTCATGCATATATATAAATTCTAAAAATAATTAAATTATAATTGGTTAATATTTTTTTTTTAAATAGGTTTTGAGTCAACCTCTAATTTATATATATAAAATATATTATTATTATTATTATTACTATAAAATTATATATTCTTATTGTAATTAGATGTTTAATTTTGGGTATAAATTAGATCAGTCGAGTCATTCATTTTGTGAGTATATTGAGTTAAATATATTTTTAATTTAAAATTGAAGTATAACTACTTTTTATTTTCATTAATTCAAATCAAATTAATTTTATTTATTGCTTAAATATATATATGTATTTTCATAATATTTATTTACTCTTTATATGTGTTCAAAAAAATTACTCTTTGTTTTAGTTAAGTTAAATCAAATTATTTTATTTATCGCTTAAATATACATGTACTTTCATAATATTTATCAAAGTATATTTTGATTTCTAATAAATATTATAAAATAAAGTGTAACTGATAATTTTTTAGATGTTCATGAACATATATATTTTTATTAATTTGAAAATATATTCGATGTTATTTAAAAATACATATTAATGGGGGTAATACTATTTTGTGAACTTTCCTTTTTAATAAAGTCATATTATATACATATATTTTCGTTTTAAATTTGTTTTAAAATTTTAGAAATATTTCCTTTTTATTATATATGTTATTTGGAAAGAGGTAAAAAAACTAAATAAAAAATAATAATCTTAAAATCTAACAATTCACTAAGGGTATCTATGTAATCAACAATCGCGAGAGTTAACGTGAGCGCGACACGTAGGAAAAATTACTCTTTATTTTAGTTATGCCAAATCAAATTAGTTTTATTTATCGCTTAAATATATATGTATTTTCATAATATTTATCAAATTATATGTAGAATTCTAAAAAAAATATTAGAAAATAAAGTGTAACTGATAAATTTTTGGATGTTCATGAACATATATTTTTATTATTTAGAAAATATATTTTATGTTATTTAAAAATATATATTAATGGGAGTATTACTATTTTGTGAACTTTCCATTTTAATAAATTCATATTATATACATATATTTTCGTTTTAAATTTGTTTTAAAATTTTAGAAATATTTCTTTTTTCTTATATATGTTATTTGGAAAGTGGTAAAAAAAATTAAAAAAAAATAAATAATTTTAAAATCTAACAATTCATTAAGGGTATCTATGTAATCAACCATCGCGATAGTTAACGTGAGCGCGACACGTAAGAAACTGACTTCTCAAATAATATTATAGAGATTCGCAGCGGAAAGATAATTAAACCAAATCGAGATTTTAAGCACTCCAAACGTCGTGCCTCTACCGGTATCCACACGCTCACAAACTAGATCGAAACGGGATGCTAGTACCGCAAGATCTTCTCAACGAACCATTTGTCTCCTACTCTGATATTTAGGTTACGGATAATCTATTTTATTTGACACAACACCTTATGTTTATATATAATACACGTACCTTAACCTAATTAAGGTTAATGGGCTCAGCCCAATTTAAGAAGATATTACATTAATATTCTTCTTCTCTAGTAAGTGCATATGATATATATATTATATAACATTTATATCATATATATCATATATATATATATATAATATTAATTTGAACCTAAAATATCTTTGATCTAGTTTGCTTAGGTGTGTGACCCTGTAGGATCATATAAAATTAGTAATAGATTCTCAATCCATAGATTATAAGCGATTTCTAGCAAAACATTATAACCACCTAATTTTATACGATTGTCGAATCTCGACATTACGACTTTAACAAGAGTAAGTACAAATGATTTTAGGACATTCCCAACATAACCACTTAAAGAAATTTTAAGAAAAGTCAAATCATTCAAGTTTGATTATCTTCAATCATGCCACACAATCTATTATTTATCGCAAAGTAAGAAAATAGAGTCATTCACCAAAAGCAATCTTCAGAGAATCATCATTCCAACAACATTTAGCTGAAATTTTTCTTTCTTTTTTTGTTCTTCCTCCAACCATTGTTGATTTACATTCATTCCTCATCGCAAGAAACAAAAGAAATTAGTTAAAACTAAAAAAAACAAAACGAACTCACTTGTATATTTTCAAAAAGATTTGCATCTCTTAGCGGAACCAACCACCTTCCCTGAACTACTATTAGCCGGAACACCAACCGCCACGTCATAGCAGTAAACCGTAACGTATCTCCTCCTCCGGTAAACTCCATACCGGAAAGTAACCGAAGAAACCATCCTCAAATCGAATTCAACGCTTCCTTTCGCTGCTCTCTCTTTCCCAATCGAATCAGCCAACCGAGTTTCAACGTAAGTCCCGGAGACAGAGAGCGCAGCGTTGATCGGGGTCTCATCTTTCGTCCCTTGATCGAACGGCTGTAGTCGCGTCTCAGACAGAGAAACCCGGTTGTAATAGAGAGTGCAGAAGACAGTGTTGTAGTAAAGCGACATCTTCGTGTTAGGGTTTTGGAATCGGAGCTGGAGGTCCCAGTTTCCGGTGAGGTGATTCTTGGAGACGTTGAAGTTGGAGAGGGAGAGAGAGTTGATGTAAGCGTATGGTAATTGGGGACGGACGAGGATGAAGAAGAGGAAGAAGATGATTCCTAAGACGAGGAGAAAGACCATTGAGGCTATGAAGAGGCGGCGGATTAGGATGGCGCGTGGATTATGATGCGGCGCGTAGGAAGTGTTGTGGTTGTGGTATGGGTTGGCGTTGGGAGGATAACCATTGGTATTGGATTGCTGAGGCGGATTCGGGTAAGGATACCCACTGGCGGGTCTAGAATTCGGGTCTTGCTGCATTGCTTGATTTTGAAATCGAAGAGACGACAGACTCTGAGAAGAAGAGAGGGAACTGTTTTAAGTAAAAGCAAACCGACAAGAAATGGATATTTCTTAGGCGGTTGTATTTATTTTATTATTTTTGGGACTCGGTTTTGTTTCATTATTTTATTTATACAGGTTTAGTTACTGAAAAAATGGTAAATTAGACAAAATTTAAATCTGCAACTAGATAAACTAGTGGCATAGCTCCCGTGCAAACGTGGAATCAAAAAATTTGTGACGTGTTTGTGTTGTATTGTATATGGGATTTACTTTTTGGAGTAAATTGGGTAGAAATCCATAAGAAAATGGGAAATTAGGGATTTACCATTTTTGGTGGGAAAAATAGTAATGTGTGGGGAGAAGAGATAAAAAAAGAAATAAGGTATGCAGTGAATTATGAGGTTTAGTGTGTGTATGGAGTGCAAATACTCTACTTTTTGTTATGTTTTTAACATTTGTGTTATTGACTTAGCATTACGTTGTTTGTCCATCTTATTTATATAATAACTAGGATAAGATTCGCGCCTTGCGCGGGATGAAGCTATTATTTTTATTATGTTTTGCAAAATAAAACAATAGTTCGGTTTCATTCGGATTAGAGGTGTTCAATCCGGATATCGGGTTTCGGTTTGACTCGATTTTTTGGTATTTCGATTATTAAAATATAACTAATATTCTAAATCTATATGTACTTCAGTTTGATTTGGTTTATCTATCATCGGTTTTCAGTTACCAAAAAATATGATTATTTAGTTTGAGATCATATTATATATTATACAAATATATAATATGATCATATTTAGAGTCATATTGTAACAGAGACATTTATTAAAAAAATATTATATATTTAAATAAAAGAATAAAAAAACAAAAAGGCTTCTATCATCTAATAAAATGATCAAATCTAGAATTAATATCAAAACACTAAATTTTGAAAATAAAAATAAAAAACAAAACAGAAGCATGAAAGAAAAAATTTTATATTCTTCCATATTTAGTGTTCATCAAACCAATATGTCTTCGATTGAACACAACTCTATTTCTTTAAAGATAAAAAAAAGTTGTAAAGAATTTCAACTAATTGTTGTCCATCAAATTTATAATCTTTACTTCAATTTAGTTACTATTAAAAAAGAAAAAGATCAAAATAAGAAGTCTAAGTTGTAATAAATTGTTAGCTATTTACAAATTATAATTATAGTTCAACTCATGTAACAAATAGATATTCATGCGTCATTATAAATATATACATATTTACATGTTTCAGTTTAATCGGCTATAAATCAAACCATATCTAAATCCTATGGTTTTTATAAAATCACATCCATTCGGTTTGTATGGTATATACCAAAAATAACCATATTATCGATCGTTAATATCTTTTAAAAATATAAAATTAAAAAAGAACTAAGATATTTAAATCATTGATAACAAAAATTTTCAATGTGAAAAATTTAATAATTTTATAATTTAGAAATGTTCTTGAAAATTTATTGAGGATTTTGAAATTAAAATATTTATGTAATCTTATATGGTATATAGTTTAATCTGTATATATATTTGTTTTATTATTGAATGATACTTTTTACTTATATGGTTTTAAAATCATGTATATCTTTATATAATAAAAATGTTAAACTATTGATCATTAATTTTTAACATAACAATTTTAATAGTTTAGTTATTTATTCTCGTTTTTAAAAATTCAAAATATAACCTATACGAAAAAATCTAAAGTTTAATTTTATAGCTAATTTGATTGTTTAATTTATTTTAATAATATAAAATTAAAGAAAAATGATGGAGGATATATAAACTGTTATCAAATATTTATTATTAGAATCATTAAGTGTCATATATATATATTAGTCATTTATGGTAATTCCGTAGGTTTTATTTNACGAAAAAATCTAAAGTTTAATTTTATAGCTAATTTGATTGTTTAATTTATTTTAATAATATAAAATTAAAGAAAAATGATGGAGGATATATAAACTGTTATCAAATATTTATTATTAGAATCATTAAGTGTCATATATATATATTAGTCATTTATGGTAATTCCGTAGGTTTTATTTATGGAAAGAAAATAAAATAGTGATTATATCTAGGGGAACAATCATAAATGCTTCTATCATAAATATCATATCATATCATCATATCATATAATTTGACCAACGAATGTATCTAGCAAAATATAAAAATCGAATGTGGACCTACTTATTTTTCAATTGAATGTAATTGACTACCTAATTGAGTGACACATAAGCATGAGGTCTTTTTTAATTATTAAAAAATTGAGGTTATAATTTTTTAAATGTTTCTCCTTTAATATATAAGGGATGTACAAACAAAATATTAGAAATCATTTCTTTTTGTTATTTTCATATAATTTATTTATAACGATTTAATAAACCATTTATTTTAGAAGCAATTTTATGATCATAGATAACCTATTATTTAGTTGTAAATATAGAAGTGAAATAGTGGAAGGAGAAATCCAATACACACAAACTATTCCTTACTTGGTAGAGTACTAAGCAGCCTATAATTTTAAAATTTTCGTCTCATATATCCTATCTCAACAAAATAAAAATTGGGAAAAATAATAATGGAAAATATTGAATCAAGTAAAATCTATAAACGATTCTTTAATATTTCAAAACAGAAATAAAAATCCCAGCTGAAAAACAGTAAAAGAAAATAGCAAAGGTTTGTAATGGGAAACAAAGCTAGCAGTAGTTTTTTTGAAAAAAATAAGGGTGTTGACGGGTTGACAAATATAGACATTCCCAATCACCCACGGCTGCGCTTGCGTTGCTTCAAAGAGTTTGAAATCTCTAGAAGATCTACTGTACCCAATCTTGTCGCTCAGAACAGATGGTTCCGAAGACATTGCTGTCAATACTTCGTCACCTTCAGTGCTTGTCAAAAGGCTCCCACCATGTTCCTGAGATACAGTAACGTCATGTGTACATAATATGGTTTAAACCAGGGGCGGTTCTACGTTGAACAAGGTGGAGGCAGCTGTCACCACTAAAATCTATAATAACATATATTTGTATAAGAAAAATTAAGATTTCAATAGAACAGTTGGTCTGATTCTTCACCTTGCCCCCATTAAAACCATGGATCAAATTCCCCTAAAACCCATTTTACCCATTTTTATTGTTCTTAATTATTTTTCTGCCCCCAATTAATAAGTTTTCTAGATTCGTCACTGGTTAAAACGGCTAGTATAATGACAAGTTAAAATCAACAACCTTTCCATGGTTTGTTATGTTGTTATCCTTTGTAATCGTGGAGACAGTGAAATACGGTGGTTGGATGTGAAGTTAAAAGGGATGACACGGATCTGAAACACAAACTCCTTTCCTGTCCTCTTCAAGAAAGCTTGGGAGATCATCCTCTCCACCGTTTTAACACTGCAGCCAGGCAGCAGTAATCGAAGTTATAATAACCTCCAGTTGAATGCCAATCTATATATAAATGTCGTTGGGTGATATATCATGGATTTTACTCATTTTCAGCCATGGTATATGAATGTTTTAATATCTAATTATTATGTTTCAGAGTCTATATAGCATACTTATAGGTCCATGAGTGATTTAGAAGAAAATGAAGATTTTGGAGTCTTTTTGGTGACAAAAGGAGTTTTACCCGAATTGACCATCGATCGACACATTCATCCGAAAACTTCTTTTCTGTCGACCAACACTCTTCATCTTTCATCGATCGACACATTCATCCGGACGTCAATCAATACTCAACTGAGAGATATGGTCGCGACTTTGATTCTCAAACAGGATGAGAATGGAAACATGCATAACTAGGAAGGTCATCTGCGTAATGCAATAGGTCAAAAGATAGATGCCCTGGGGACTATAATCCCTGAACCAGACACTGAGGCTGCAAAAGCTGTGGAACCTGCAAATGAGATTGCTCGACCAAGAATGTTGGCTGACTACAACCGTTCAGATCAATACTACGTCAACTGTTCAACTATACGCCATCCACCTATTCAGAGGAACGATTTTGATCTGAAGCCCCAGTACTACACACTCGTGTGAGAGAAACCCTACTGTGGGTTATCTAACGAACATCCTATGGACCTTCTGGAGAGGTTCGAGGATCTTATATCTTCTATTAGAGCCCATGGAGTCCCTGCAGACTATCTACTATGCAAGCTCTTCAAATACTCACTTGCTGGAGAAGCTTTGCATTGGCTTAAGCATCTATCACCAGAATCCATTACATCATGGGCTGAGATAAAGAACGCATTCCTGCGACACTTCTTTGATGAGTCACGATCTGAACACCTGAGAAGCAAGATTTCTACATTTACACAGGAGCCTACAGAGTCATTCAAGAGCTCCTGGATCAGATTCAAATCCTTTTAGAGAGATTGTCCACACCACAGATTCAATGAAGTGCAGCTGCTCAACATCTTCTACAAAGGCATCGATATGCAGTATCAGATGGCTCTAGACACAGCAAGTGAAGGGAACTTCAACACTAGGAATCCAGAAGAAGCTGTGAGAGTAATTGAGAACTTGGCATCTAGAAATAGTACCAAGAATGCTGATTATGAGAGGAGGAAATATGTTGTTGTTCTTGGAAAGGAACAGATGGAAGAAGTGAAAGCAAAGCTGGATAATGCCCATAGGATTCTTAAGAAGCAAGTTTGTTTTGCATAGGATGTAGAAGCTGTAGACTGCACAGAGACAGAGGAAGATGTGAACTTTATCAGTAGCACTGGATTTCAGAGGTCTGGAAACCAGTATGAAAAACATAAACTTCTATGAGAATGAACAGAGAAGTACTTACAACCAGATTCGCAGTATCAGAGGCCCAACAACAACAACAACAAGAGCTATGGGAGCTCATCTTACCAGAATCCACCACCACAGACTCATGAAGTAAAATAGAAGCTATGCTTGATCAGCTTCTTGAAGGTCAGCAAAAGCTAACATTGA